GATCCCTTTCTGCCTTTACAATCTCACTCTGAAGGACAGAGCTATTCAAAGCAGTAACACCTCATGCATGTGCTTTTGCTCCATTAGAGACACTCTGTGGGCCCTTGCATTCAGTGGGGTAAGGAGGTCGGAGAGGGGACAGATAAAGCAAGCTGCCATGTCATAAAATGAATGTGGGCAAGGAGACTTGATGGATGAGTAATATTTTGAGGGGGTGAAAAGTAAGCAGAGATGAAGGCAATGAATGTGAGAATCAATTCAGAAAACCTTGGGAATCTCTTTTCAAGGTAAGACACAGTTGATGGACACAATAGCAGTGGTTTTCAATCTTTATCACTGCTAGATCCTTACCAATTGTAAAAAAAAGAAAAGAAAAAAAAAGAAAAAAAAAAGGTGTATATTTCTGGTCTAGTCTTTTTTTGTTAACCTATGATTCCTGAAATAATATGCTTCCACTGAAGAGGATGCTCACATTGTATTTCCATCTATTTGCTTTAAAGAGGATGAAGAAACCAGAGAAATTATACTAACCCATTTCCCACCTCATGTCCTTTCCCCAATACGTTTTCTAGAACAAGGCTAAGGTGAATCTTCAGCTATGGTGAATCTTCTTTTTGTGTTGTACTGCCAATGCTCCTGCTAATAGCATCTAAGGCAGATTTTCATGTAGAATTGAACAACTCAGTTTTCCCTGGGGACCATGTGAGCTGTGCCACAGTTGTACAGCTTCCCTGCAGGGTCACCTCCTTACACTCCACTTCTGGGCAGACAGAGCTGGGACTGGGACTCCCTGCACCTTCAGGACACCTGGTTCCCCTGAGCCTCTCCAGAGAGAGAGAGCTGCCCTGAGACCTCACCTCTGCAGCTCCTGAGCAGCCTGCCAGGTGGCTGCGACAACGTCGAGGGCCCTGCTCATGAGCAGAGGTCAGGGTCCAAGGGTTAAAGGACCCAGAGGCACCTGTGTCCCCAGAGGCTCAGGTGACAGGTTGTTAGATTTCATCTTGAGGTGTTATAGTGATCTGGCTCCCTCAGGATTCACACAGCTGGCTTTGGAGGCAGGATGAAAAAATGCTAATTTTTGATGTTCTTACTTTTTAGTATTGGCAAATGGGAGGATATTTTTCTTTGCAACTCAGAGTAAACACATAGACAGAAAACTGAAAACAGTAAGAAATCTGGCAGAAGGCATAATACATGAAGGGTGCCTCCAGTTTTTATGAGTAAACTAGCATTACTAGAGAAAATATTTCCAATAAAATGGTCTATTTTGATGGTTCTGTATTTTGTGAGACAAGAAAAATAATTTTAAATGATTCTTTGTAGGTAATGTAAGCAATCTTCCAGGTCTTACAGTTGTGCTTTTGATTTGACACCTCCTCGTGCTTAATTAAGCTTGTGTATAGGTTTACTAAATGTCTAATGTCCATTTATGAAGAAAGTGACAAGGATGTGATGCAGAGCAGTGTGGAGCTCTCTGTGGGTTTGATATATGGGTAGTGAACAACATCCATACTATATTTAAGGTGTGGAAGAAAGAAAGAGTGAAAGACCCCTCCACAGGGTAATTCAGCTTTCCTGTATTGCATGTGTCTGTTGGGGTGACCTATGGCGATACCTATTTTTCCATCTCAGTACTCCTTATCTTTTGAAAATGTATCAGCCAGAATACCAATAACTCCCCCACCACCTGAAGATTAAATTATGGGTATTAGTAGAGAGAAACAGAACTGAAGTCATACAGGTAGAATTTGATTCATGTTATCACAGAATCTAAGTATTAGAGCTTCACATGAAAGTGACCTTCCTGTAGGATGTGGTGAAGTAAAAGTCTCAAATGTGAGTATTTAATCATGAGAAGTATGGGTTAGGTGATACTTGTCCTTAGCTCTGAAGTGATGGTGTCACAGTGATTGGCTGCAGGACAGAGCTGCCACCTAGAAGGAAGCTGCACTCTTGGAGGTGTATCCATCAGTGGAATCCATAGCAAGCCAGGTTGAGAACCACTATCTGCATGTCCACTACATGCTGGTTTGTCCAGTTTGTAAAATGCATTGCATGCTCACCAGTTAAAAATACTTCAGGGAATATCCTTTTAACGTCATTTTTAGTTTCATTTAACGTTTTGAATGCTATTAGTTGTTGCCCCAATAGATTCCTGTTCCTGGTATCAGCTGCAGACATCACTACTGTCAGTCTCCAGTCCTGTGATTTCAAAAGGAGTTAACAGAGTACAGAGTTAATCAGTGACTTGTACCTTCATTCCTGAGTGAATGCCCTATCCAATTTGCTAATATGTTGCATAAAGTTTTTCTGCATTGTGGAAAGACAGCCTGTATCTGTTTGTTTGAAAGGAGTTCCACAGGGATACAAACATGAGCAGAAGTAGGGGAAGAGTCATAGAAACAGTGGAAAATGTTTTTTCACAGAGTGAAAATATTGCCTCAGAAGACATGCTGTTTTCCTACAGAGGTATTTTATACCCTGCTCTAATTAGCAGCCCAGAAACTTTGGAAGCTCTGAAATCCTTTGAAACCAGGAGCGACGATGTGATTCTAGCAGGCTATCCTAAAACAGGTGAGTGGTGTTTTCTTGATAAGTAGTCAAGTACACAATGCTGCAATCCAGAAGTTTGTGTCAATATTTAGCACAGCAATAATACCCGAGAAATGCTTAAGGTGATATCAGACTTAATAGGATCATGAAATTAATTTCTAAGGCATCTCTGGAGGTCAAATAATACAATTTTCTACTCAAAGCAGTGGAAAGACCTAACCTTCAAAGTTAGGTTTGGTTGCTCAAGGCTTTATTCAGAAGCATTTTAAAACTTTGAGGGTGGAGATTCACCACCCATTGGAAATCTATTGCAGTGTTTACCCACTATAGTGTTTTTTTTTGGGGTGGTGGTGGGGTTTTTTTGTTTGTTTGTTTTTTTCTTTTTTACTTCTATGCTGTCAGCCATCCCCTTGTTGAGATTTGTAATGTGCATCTTCTGTCATTTCCTGGCCAATTTTCAGAAGAGTTGGTTCTCTATTATAACTTCCAGAAGTGGAAGACTGCAGTGAGATTTCCCCCATGCTTTCCCCCCCACCCCCCCCAGCCTGAGCAAAACAAGCCTTTCTATGCATTTCATTTGCTCCAGCTCCCAGTGATTTCATGGAAGTTCAGCAGGTCTCGCCTCAGATTCTCAAAATTGCTTGTGCTTCTTGCACACAGTATTCAAGTGTTGAACTCACCAGTGCTGGGTAAAGCAGAATAATCACATCCCTTGATATTCTGACCGCTCTTGCTTATACAGGAACATATGTCATTACCCTACTCGCTGCAAGGGCAATACAGGGAATGTATCCTGCTAACAAGGGCAGAACAACTGCTGTTTCCATAGACTTACTGCATTGAGGAATGCAGGTGATTCCCTTGAATCTAAATGGAGCAAAATACATGAATGTCATCAGGACTCTTGAATTATTTCCTCTTTCACTATGGACATTTTAGATTCCTTTATTTTTTTTCCCTATTCACTTTAGAGAAATATCTTAATAGATCACTTGCAGAAAAAGAGGACCTGTTGAATTTATCCCCTTTGTGTGCAGCCTGTAGAGCTGTGCAGAGGCAGAAATGGTTTAAAAGTGTGAGGGTCCACTTAGACATCTCAGAAGGTGTTGAAAACTGAGACTTGCATGTACAAACCCAGTCCCTCACATATCAGTTTTGCCGGGTTGCAGAGGCCAAGATGGCTAAGCCTGGTGCAAAGATGCTGACAGCAACTTGACAGTCTGGTGGTTTGGTTGATGACCTCTTCCGCTGCCAGTTAGGGAAGCCTATGGGTTCTGGGAACGATACCAAACTGTGTTGATCAAGAGACTGTAAACTGAAGCTGGTCAGCAGGAGGGAACAGAGTGTTCCCAAAGACAGCACTGTAACAGAAACAGCCAAGGGACAACTCAGCTGGCCCTCTGCTAGGAGATCCATTGTGCTTGAGTAATTTCCACAGAGAGTAGTCTGAGGTGACCAAAAAGTGCCAGAGCTGGAAGGAGCAATAGAGATCTGCTTCTGTTTCACTGAGGGATGGGATATGCTCCTGAAGCGACCAGGGTAGCACTACACAACATCTGGCTGGCAGCTCTGTCCCTGTTGGCTTTTGGCATACCCTTGATTATTGCCCAGTGCCATGGTTTAACCCCAGCCAGCAACTAAGCCCCACACAGCTGCTTGCTCTTTCCCCATTCTGGTGGGACAGGGATGAGAAACAGAACAATGAAAGTGAGAAAAGTAATGGTTGAAATAAGACAGTTTAATAGGTAAAGGAAAAGCTGTGTTCACAAGCAAAGCAAAACAAGGAATTCATTCACTACTTCCCATTAGCAGGCAGGTGTTCAGACATCTCCAGGAGAGCAGGGCTCCATCATGGGAGGGAAGACAAACACCAGAGCTGCCAGCATCTCCCCCTTCCTTGTTCTTCTCCCAGCTTCTGTTGCTAAGTATGACACCATATCATATGGAATATCCATTTGGTCAGTTGGGGTCAGCCAACCCAGCTGTGTCCCTTCCCGACTTCTTGTGTACCTCCAGCCTACTCGCTGGTGGGGTGGTGTGAGTAACAGAAAAGGCCTTCACACTGTCTGAGCACTGCTCAGCAATAATGAAAACATCCTTGTATGATCAATACTGTGCTCAGCACAAATCCAAAACATAGCCCCATACCAGCTACTATGAGAAAAATTAACTCTTATCGCAGCCAAAACCAGCACAAAACAGGCTAAAGTACAATATGGAGCCAAACGGGTTCACAAATGTGAACCAGTTTGACAAGATATCCCATCAGGTGGGTTGACATGTAAAAGTGCAGTAAAATGGTTGTGCTACTGGTGTCTTTATCCTTTCAGGAACTAACTGGGTTGGCCAAATCATTGAGGAGTTGGAATCAACAGATGCCAAATACACAGAAGAAGAAATGAAAGAGAGAATAAATGCTGAAAAGAAGCTAGAGACATTTCCACGTCTGGAATTTGGAGATCCTGGGATATATGAGGTTGGCAGGAGCTGAAAATACCACTGCTCTTCTTACAGGTAGTAATAGCTGAAAGACAGTGGCTGATCTCAGAGGTAATGGAGAGCTTAGAGCCTTAAAAACAGCTATGGTATGCACAAGTAGCATGTGCTATTGCCCTAGGTGTCCCAATGTAAGGGCCTCAGAGCACAGACAGTGCTGAGAAGCCACAGGGAGCTCCAGCCCTGGACCCAGTGGATTTGATCAGTAAGACCTTTCTCTTGGGCATCCTGTCCTCAGGCCTGTCTCATGTGAAATGGTGCTCTGTGGCAGAGGCTGGCAGAAGTCTATACCACCAGTGCATCCCTGTGGGTTTTCCAAGAGATAAGATCCTTCTCTGGTCTCACCTTTTCTTATTACCTACAAATTCTGAAAAGGCACATGTCATTGATTAAGCTACTTCTGTCCTGTCACATTTCTTCCCACTTGTTTTAAAGAGGATGAAGAAACTGCCTTCCAGAAGAATTATAATAACACATCTACCACCTCATCTTCTGCCCCCATCCATTCTCCAAAGCAAGGCTAAGGTGAGTCTTCTCTTTGTATCACACTGCAAAAGCTTTTCCACCCCAAATTGGCTTTCCTCTGTCTGTGTGAGATGTGTATTCTGCACTTTCACCTGAGCTGGTCAGTACACAGGCAGATTTCCAAGGTTGAAGAGGCAGAGCGCTGTGTGCTGAGGCTGTAAAAAAACCATCATCTCCCAGCAGCAGCTTTGCTGACTCAAGGGGTTACTATCAGTAGGCTTGTCATTGAGTGTCACTGCCTCTTCAGATCTCCTTCAGAAAGATGCTTCCAAGTTGGCGTCAGAAAACCGAGCAAAGCAATCAGTTATTCTGTTTGTTTTAACTTGCCTCCAAGACCAGGGTACCTGTGGAAAGCCCACCACAGGTTGAGGCTAAGAGAGTTTTCAATGGGAATTGCTGCAGAGAGTAGCAAGAGTACACACCCACAGCCTACTTGTGGCTCTACTGTTCAGTAGTCCATGAGTTCATTTCTCTGGATTGAAACTACCTCAGAACTATGTCCCAAAAACATTACTGAAAAGCATCTTGTTTTCAGCCTGAAGCTCACATTAGCATCAAGTAGCCTGCCAAAGCTCTGATTTCTTGCTCAAGAAAAGGAATTAAACCAGAATTGTATGGTCTGGTGGGTGTTAGTGGACAAGTAAGTTTACAGACACGATGAAGTTGGGTGGGAGTGTTGATCTGCTTGAGGGTAGAAAGTCTCTACAGAGTGATCTGGACAGGCTGGATCGACGGGCTGAGGCCAATTGTATGAGGTTCAACAAGGCTAAGTGCCAGGTTCTGCACTTGGATCACAACCCCATGCAATGCTACAGTCTTGGGGAAGAGGGGCCAGAAAGCTGCCTGGCAGAAAAGTACCTGAGGTTGTTGGTTGACAGCCGGCTGAATATGAGCTGGCAGTATGCCCAGGTGGCCAAGAAGGCCAATGGCATCCTGGCTTGTGTCAGCTATAGTGTGGCCAGCAGGATGAAGGAAGTGATCGTCCCCCTGTACTAGGCATTGGTGAGGCTACACTTTGAATACTGAGTTCAGTTTTGGACCTCTCACTACAAGAAAGACATTGAGGTGCTGGAGCACATCCAAGAAGAGCAATGAAGCTGGTGAAGGGTCTGAAGAACAAGTCTTATGAGGAGTGGCTGAGGGAACTGGGATTGTTTAGTCTGGAGGAAAGGAGGCTGAGGGGAGACCTCACTGATCTCTACAACTACCTGAAAGGAAGCTGTAGCAAGGTGGGTATTAGTCTCTTTTCCAACATAACAAGTGATAGGATAAGAGGAAATGGCCTCAAGTTGCACCAAGGGAGTTTTAGATTGGCTATTATGAAAATTAGGAAAAATATTAGGAAAAAAGGGTTGTCAATCATTGGAACAGGCTGGCCACATCTGGGAAGTGATGGGGTCACTATCCCTTCAAGTATCTAAAAGATGTTTAGATGTGGCACTTAGGGAGATGGTTTAGTGGTGGACTTTGGTTTACAGTTGGACTCAATGATCTTATAGGTTTTTCCCAACCTAAATGACTGATTCTATGTGATGTGTTGAGAAGATGGCGTTTTGATCTGTCACTGAATCAGAACCAATTTCTGTGTTTTCTTCCTCTAGATCCTTGTGCTAATTCGGAATCCCAAAGACACAGCTGTCTCCTATTACCACTTCTACAACAACATGCCAGTGCTGCCGTCCTTCTCCTCCTGGGATGAGTACTTTTCAGCCTTCATGAATGGGAAATGTACTTTGCTCTGTATCCTCTGGCATTCATCCTTACATGAGGGGCATACACAGGACCCTGTGCATGGAAATCCTATTCCAACATACCTTACCAAGGCACTCCCAGGACAGGCAGATGCGTGCATGTTAGGGAAGAAACAGGGAATACCAGAGAATGAGAGTTTCTTTTGTCTCTAACTCAGAGAGTACATGAGAAAGCTTTAGTGTGACTTTTCCATTCCTGCAGTAGAGCTTGTGGTTCGATGCTACATAGTGGCCAGAGCTGAGGGTTCCTGCAATGACCTCAGCTGAAAGAATAGACATGTTGAGCCAGTCACCACTTCACCATCCCAGTGCCATGCTTAGAGCTGTCTGGGATGACTCCTCTGATTTGATACGATCCTGTTTTGGGGAATACTCTACACAATTATGTCTCTTCTTTGTCTGCAGTGGCCTGGGGATCCTACTTTGACCACTTACTGGAATGGAACAAATACATTGACCATGAGAGGATCATGATAATAAGCTATGAGGAACTCAAAGAGGTATGGTATCTCATCCAGATCTTCTTTGATGAGTGCACTGTGCACCCCTCCTGATATGTATGGCTGTGGGGAAGAAGAAAGTCTTCTGTCAAGCCTGTCTGCCCCTTTAGAAGGCTGTGCCTTTCTGAGGTCATCTTATGATTGGGGGAGGCCCATGGGGTTTAGGAGGAGGATAGCCTTGCCTGTTCTTGGAAGAGGACATATATGGCACAGGCACAGTTACTTTTGGGAGGGAAGAAAAGGTCTTGAAGTTGAGGCCACCATGTGTGGGTTCTATCTCTCAGAGCTCTTAGAATTCCTTGGTGATACTGTGGGAAACAGCCTCCTCTGCTGGGCTTCCTACAGGGTTCTGGCTCCCTGCCACAGCCACAATGTCAAGTCTTCTGGTTTCACTTCTATGCTATGTTCCTCTGGCCAGGATCAGGTATTGGGAATGAAAAGAATTGCTGCCTTCTTTGAATTCTCCCTGTGTGAAGAAGATTTTCCCAGAATAGCCAAGAAGACCACTTTCCAAGCTATGAAAGAGAATTCCAAGGAAACCCATGGAAAGTTCGGGGACATCCTCTTCCGGAAGGGTATGTCTCTGCAAATGAAAAATCTACTTGCTAAAGTAGAACTCCAGAAGGAGTTCTGAGTAGGTTTCCTTGTTCATCCATGAACTCACTGGGCTGTCTAGGAAGGGCAAGCATGGTTGAGTTCTCTCCTGTGGCATCCTGTACAACAAGCTTCTACCACTGATGGGATCTGGGGGCTGTTTGTGAGAAATGTAGCAGAGAGCCAGGCTTAAGAGCCTCAGCCATTGCTTCCATGTTGCTCTATTTCCCTGTGGCAGCCCCAGTTAGTTAGACAAAGTGAGGTGGGAAGGTGAGGGCCAACACTGGTGTAGGTTATGCCAACAATTCTGCACCAAATCTGCTTGGGCAGGATGCAGTGTGGCTGTTGCCTGGTGGTCAGGTGATGAGGCTCCCCTGGCTCCAAGTCAGACCCACCTTTGCACCAAGGCTGAGCCAATTAGCTGTGCTGCTGCAATAACATATTTAAGAAGGGGAATCTGGGAGGAGGAGTTGGAGTTGTGAGGAGGAGCTCTGAGGAGAACATCTGTGTGAACACTGAGGTCAGTGGAAGAAAGGAGGAGGAAAGGGAAGAGGTGCGTCAGTGCAGATCATGGATTCAGGCTGCATGAGTTGCTTCATGGAAGTCCCCTTTGGGAGGAGGGGTGCTGATGGGACAAAAATCTCTTGAACCTCAAGGGAATGCATTACTCACTGCTCTGCTGGCCTCCCAAGCATCTTCTTGCTATGCACTCAGAGCTGAGGAATAGTCTCATATGGTTCTTCTTAATAGACAGTGGTGGCCCCAGAGATGACAGAGTTGGGGCCAGGGCCAGAGTTCTGGCAGCCCAGCTGCTCCCCATGATATCAAGAGTCTTTGGTTTTTTACTACTGTGGGCATGGGCTTCCTTTAATCCATTTCCTTCACCACTTCTTTGGAAGAAAGATTTAACTGCTATCCTGTCTACCACCTACCCCATGACTCCAAATAACTTGCCCCTTCAGAGGGAGGCATTCATGAATGATCCTTCCTTTGTGACAAAATCAGGTTCCCCACTCTTCCATGTAAAAGCTTCATGAAACCACCTTGGAAGCCCTCTCTGGGGAGGAAAGGCATGCAGGCAGCCCACCGGCAATGCTCCCTGTGGCCTGGGTGCAGCCTTTATTTCTTATCTTTACTATCCTGTTTCTCCCAGGCAATCAGAACTCTCAGGGGGATAAACCAGATCCTTCCTGACTCATGTAGGCAAGGATTCTGCTTCACTGCTGCCTAGGTATTATTCCCTCCCAGGAGTGGCTGCCTTCAGTTTCTGGTATTTCTTCTTGTACACAGGGGTTGTTGGGAACTGGAAAGACCTCTTCTCTAAAGTTCAAAATGAAGAAATGGACCGAAAATTTGAAGACTGCCTAGGAGGAACAAAGCTGGCAGCACAGATGAAATATGATATGTACTGCAAGGCCTGAAATTAAGCAGATCAGCAGCACAACAGCAAAAGGTGATCTCCAAAGGTGGGCAGCCCTCATGTTTCCTCCCCATGAGAAAACAGAGAAAACCCTCAGAGATCTACCTGTCATCTCTAAGCATTCAGGTGGTAATTTTTAGTCATGTGCTGGCCCTGGGGCAAGTGCTTTGCTTGTCACAACCAAATAAAATGTGTCTATGCCTTGAGTGAATGTCTGGCATCCTTTCAGGAGGGAGACAGTGCACAGGCATCATAGAGTGCACAGGCATCATAGCACCAGTCTGGTGGTGTCCTTGTGACTGCTTCATGGCCTGAGATGGTGAATGAGTCCCCTGTGGTGCTCAGTGCTGAGGCAGCATAAGCAACACAGGGTCTCTCCTCCCAGCATACAGTGGGCTTGACATGGATTTGTGGTGCGGGTCTGAACCCCCATGTTTGTGCATGGAGACAGCATGATAGTCTGGGTTTCGATCCACCATGGCAACCACGGTGTTGACATTTGTAGAGTCAGGTCAGAAATGCCTTTGACACTTTGGCAAATTCCTCACTTCTTTGGTGTAAGGTGGGACTTCTTGAGATCTTACTGCCACAAACTCTTAAGTAATGAACAGCTATATGTTTTCTGATGTGTTTTGCTCCCCTTACCTTCTATGGTAACAGTTAGGTAAGTGGCAGGTGGGAAGAACCATGAGTTTTGAATAGAAAGATCTGGGGACAGAAGCCCCTTGATGACCCTGTTGCTGAACTATTGAAGCTGCATTTGTTTGACAATAAATGCATTTATGCTACATAGGTGTGATTCCCATACCCTCCTTGATGGTGTAGATGTCTTTGCTACATATGTGCAGAACATGCTGTGTGACCTCCCATCTTGGGTTTGAGTGAGTGGTGAGGGCTTTTGTAGTGGGGAAGGGGGCTACAGCAGTGGTCTCCTTCTTGAAGCTCCCCTGGCTCCAAGTCAGACCCGCCTTTGCACCAAGGCGGAACCAATTAGCTGCGCTTCTGCAATAACATATTTAAGAAGGGGAATCTGGGAGGAGGAGTTGGAGTTGTGAGGAGGGGCTGTGAGAACATTCGTGTGAACAGTGAGGTTAGTGGAAGAAAGGAGGAGGAAAGGGAGGAGGTGTGTTAGTGCAGAGCCACCCTACAGCCCGTGGTGAGACAGCAGGGCAACCCCTGGCACCCACGGGTGTTCATGGTCTAGCAGATGGTGACCTGCAGCCTGTGGAAGACCCCACAGGGGAGCAGGTGACTGCGCCCAAAGGAGGCTGGGACCCTGTAGGAAGAAGCAGCCCTGCTGTCGTTATTCAGTGCTGGGAGGACTGCAACATGTTGGGGTGACCTACACCAGAGCAGCTCAGGAAATTCTGTGACCCATGGGAGTGACTCATGTCTGAAAAAGTTTGTGAAGGACTGTCTCCCATGGGAGGGGGACCTCACTGGAGCAGGGGGAGAATGCCAGAAGTTACTCCCCTCCGTGAGGTGGAAGTGAGCAGGACTGATCATAACCCCCATTCTCTGTCCCTTGCACTGCTGGTGAAGGAGCTAGAGATATCAGGAGAAAAGCTGAGCCTGGGAAGAAGGGAGGTGTAGGGGTAAGGTGTTTTTAAGATGTGGTAATGCTTCTCACTCTCACAGCCACTCTTTTGGAAAACCAGAAGAAGGCTGACAAAGGGAATTCAGTTCCTTGGAAGAGGGATTCCTCTGCCATATTCCCAGACAGATATATCTGCAAGACTCTTACACCAAACTAAGATTAAAAACCAAGCAACCATCAACCAAAAATGTAATTAAAAAAACTGGGCAATTTTAAGGCCCTGTCAAAGCCTCAACAGTCCCCTGGGTCTCCCTCTACCCTACCCACAGCCCAGGACCCCATGCCAGTTCCCCAGGGCCATCAGCCCCTGCCCCAGTGATGCTGCAGCACAGTCAGTCTCCAGCTCCTCACAGCCTGCCCATGGGCTATGCCAAGCTGGATCATCCACAGGCCCACGTTCTGGACTACCCTCAGCCCATCACCATCCCTAGGGAGGTGCCTGATGCCTGGGGCTGGGACTGCCCTGGTGCCCTGCCCCTGTCTGAGGTTGTGGGACAGGCCCTGGCTGCCAAACCCTACCCCATGTCTCCTAGACAGGAATAATTGCAGGTTCAGCTCTGATGGGCCACTCACAGCCTGCTTCTTGGTAAGATTTTCTAAACTTCTGTGCAAGAGCTGCCTGTGTGAAATTGCTTTGCATGAAGATATGTTTGTTTGAACCTGATTATTCTGAGTTTGTTGGTTTTCATTCCCAGAAGAGTAGGACTTCATCTAACTCAGGACTTCCATGGATGAAAAGAGAAAAGCCACCATGCCCCATAATTCTGGAATTAGCAACATTTTAATTGATTCATTAATACATGCCCTTTATTATTTCCTACCTGGTGATATCAAAAGCTATTTAGATAACTGAAAACAGTGTGCATCTTAGTGCCTGCAAGGAGCTGAGCAAGTGAATGAGCCTGACCAGAAATGGGGAAACAGTCACTGAAATATGCAAAAGACCTTTACTAAGATGAAAAGATGACATCTTAAGATCTGCTGTTTTATTTTCCTGCAAAGGCATTTTGTAGCCTAAGGGCTCCTAGCAGCTCAGAAGCTTTGGAAGCTCTGAAATCCTTTGAAAACAGGAGTGAAGATATGGTTTTTACCATCTTTCCTAAAATGGGTGAAACCAGGAGTGATTATATGATTCTCACCATCTTTCCTAAAAAGGGTGAGTCTTGCTTTCTTGATGAGGAGTCCACTGCTGCAGTCCAGAAATGTGTGACTGCATATAACACAGTGATAATGCCCATAACAGGTTAATGATGACTTCAGCCTGCCGTGGAGGCACAGGAGCAGGGTTTTTTCCATGGAGAAGGCTGGGAGGACTGGTGTTTCCATAGCCTTCCTCCACTGCAGGACATAGGCCATTCCTGCGAGGTAGGTGGAGGTACACGCACACCTGCCACCCAGACTCTAGGACCTTTTTCTTCTCCCTTCCCATGCCTTTCAATCCCATCATTTGGGATTACTGGATACCTTAATGTTTTCTCCTAATCACTTAGAGAAATATCTTAACAGGTCATTTGAAGAAAAGAAGAGGAGGTGATGTTTTGATCTGCATTATATCCACTTCAATCAACTTGAATTTTTTTCCTTAGACAAAAACCGGTATAAAGTTGTGATGTCTCATGTAAATATCAAAAGTATTTTAGATATCATTTGACATTTAAGTCATAATGCCTCGAAGTTTTAACCAATCTTAAAAGAACTGTGTTAGAAAATGCTTTATGTGACTCATTTTAAATGTGATGTGGCCAAGATTCAACCCACTTAATTAGATGGTGTGGTGGTGAATGATGAGTAAGCTGAGAGACATTCAGCCTAACTTTCAGCTCAATGGGGGGAAAGGGCTTCTGGCTTCTAAAACAACAATTCTCACAGAAATTATAGCAATATGACTTGGAGAGATGAGCTCAGACTCTCCTGCTGGTTAAAAGGCTGAAATTGGAATTGGTCATTAGGAGGTGGTGTAATGGTTGCACAGAAACACCTCTGAAAAGCAGTAAAAACCTTGGATGGGATCTAAATTCTTTTCATCTGTGATGACTGTTACTTTTGACTGATTCCTTCAATTTTCCTTCTAGTTTCAGAAACTGATGAGTTGTATTTCCTTTTGACCAAGTTGTCATTCCAGACTGTTTTGCATTTGTTTCTACAGATAATCAGTCTTTTCTGATTTGTGATATCTTATAGTTTTCCAACTCATGTTACCCAACCCTACTTAAAGGATTTCCTTCTCTGGACCTCTCAGTCTGTGTTTGCTTATGGGTGTACAAGCTGGAAATCTTGGCTATAATACAGTCCCTTCCTAAGACACATAGTTCTTAATATTTTTTCATGCCTTTTTTTTTTTTTTTTTTTTTTTTTTTTTTTTTTTTTTTTTTTAGTTTTATCTATAGTCCATGGTACTATCTATTTCCAGTTTATTTTGTATTTGTTTCCAATCCCATTAAAGAGAATGAAAAGATTCTGTTCCAGTGAACAATATCAACCTCATGTCCTGCCTCACTCATGCTTTTTCAAAGCAAGCGTAAGGTGAATCTTCCTTTTGATTTAATCTGAAACTGCTATTATTAATAGCCTTTTCATACAGATTAGTTTTCCATTTCCTGTGTAAAACATCTTTTCTGAGATTGTATGTAGGCTTTAGAGAGGCAATTATACATTTCCAAATGCGAGGTGATAAAGTGCTATTTACAGAGAATGTGAACACATGTTCTCTTGCAGCTGCAACCCTAATGCCTTCATAGGTTATTACTGCCTTCAGCTCATCCCTGCCAAAGACAGCTGCTCCCTCAAATTTTCTTGGGGAAATTTTTTCCTTGTCTAAAGCTTGGAGGTGAGCCTACCTGAACCTTTTCTTTACTGTGGACACACCATAATCACCCAGAGGGCTATAAACTTCTAAAGGCTACATTTAAGTTTAGCTAAACAAAGAAAATCAACGTTGAAAATATGGAAACATTTTTTTTTCTGAGTGAGAATAATATAACAGACCTTTTAAGGAAATCTGTTTTCTCCTCACAAGTTTTTGTCTCAGTCCAGCAACATTTCGTGTCATTTTGGGTTGCAGTAGGCTCCACACAGGCTGAATATTCCTGAGAAATTTGAGCTAGTATCTGCCCCAAAGGCTAGGCTTACTTCCCTCTTCTAACTGTAGCTGTCTGCTCCTTCTTTTGCATGAGTTCTTGTGTTTGCCTGACACCCCCAGCTTTTTGAAACAGCATGAAACACTCACTTTTGGTGGCAACGAGCTGTCAGATTGTCCCAGCTGACTTGCACAACCTCACCCCGGTGCCTCTGGGTCTCTAAGAAAGAATTTTTCTGTTGCTTCAGAGGCTTCCCTCTGTCATTTTCTGCTTCTTTCAGGCATCTCCTAATTCTGCCCTTGCCGCAGGCTTTCCTGCCTGCTGGGT